AGCTTTGTCAACATGAGCGGAACGGGGCCTGGGGCTTGCAGCATAAGAGTCGCAAATGTTGATCTAGAACAAAAAACTAAAATTTTCCGTCATCTACATACCAATAGCTAGAGAAGTACGTACGGGCTTTTTGATATATTAAAAATTACGCATTTTATAAACAATTTTCGGTGAAATTTTTAGGGTACAAAATGAAACTTTTTCTTCAAATGCGTGCCATTTCTATAAAAAAATGTTTTTTAATTTTTATAGAAATGGCACGCATTTGAAGAAAAAGTTTCATTTTGCATCTTAAAGATTTCTTCGAAAATTATTTATAAAATGCGTAATTTTCAATATATGAAAAATCTCCTACGTATTTCTCTAACTATTGGCATGTAGATAACGGAGAATTTTGATTTTTTGTTCTAGATCAACATCTGTGACACTTACGCTGCTAGCCCCGAAGAAAATACGCTCATGTTGACAAGACTATAGCGCCGCCATTTGGTAATATATGTTAACATAAAAATTTAAATATACACTTTAAAACATGTACAATAAAGCTTTCCAAACGGATTTTCAATTCATTTCTTTGTTTGCAAAGAATTTCCAAAAATGCGCTTAATTTTCGGGCGTTAGAGTGGGGTTACCTCTTAACCCTTTGACTATCGCACTTATCACGAAAAAATTTTTATTTATCACTGATAGATTTTGAGAACTTACTTTGACAATATTTAATAAGTAGAAGACAAATATCCTCTCCTTATATATAAATTTCTAAATCTTGATCCATAAACTCTTATGAGCCCATCATATTAGGAGAAAAGTTTGGTTGTACTGAACCAACGCGTTTTAAAGAAAATAGAATCTCTGATTCTTGGAACCACATTTGGGTTATAAGAAATTACCTAGAAATTCTATATCCTTCAGTCAAAACGCGTTGATTCATTCATTGAAAATACAAATTTTACATTAATATAACCAAATTTTTGTCTCCATATGGACTGTTAATTATGTAGACTTGTCGGCAAATATTTTTTGTGGGCAATAACCGCCAGCAGAATGAAGTCACGCATATGTAACAGCGGCAGTCAAAGTGTTAGGTCGAAAATTTAATGGTAAAAAAGTGTTTTATTACGGTGCTCGTTAGTGTTATAGTTGCGCACTCAAGTGCATATATGTACGTGAAAATTACACTGAGAGAGAAAAGGTTTTGCTAGTTGAAGAAAATACCAGCAAATGATTTAATATGAGACAGCAAATGACGCTGGGTGCCACAGGAGTGCCGCAGGGATGCCGTAGGAGCAAATGACTTGTTACTTTCAATTTGCTGCTCTAAACAACATTTCAATAATTAAAACCTAACTAACCTAGCCTAAATCGGCAAGAATAGATGTTACTTGAATCATATTTTTAGACTGGCGATCTGTCGACTTTATTTTGATCGTTCGAGGACATGACTCCTTGTCGAATCGCTCGAGAATAATTCGAATCTATGCGCCGGTTGTTCCGAAAGCGCTTCCGTCGGTGTAAATTCTGCAGGAACAAAGCAGAGCGGAGAGGATTTGATCCTCTGTGAACAGCGAGCGTGAGCGATTTTAAGCTCCCGCATAAATTGTATTTCCGCTGGCCGAACAGACGCGCGCGAACCGTTTATTAATAAGCAACGATGAGAGAGAGAGAGAGAGAGAGAGAGAGAGAGAGAGAGAGAGAGAGAAAGAATCGATACGAGCGACCTGCTCGTAAACGCATTCTAGTAAGTGTTGAACTTTCCAAGACGATTATATCGCCGCTAGTCTATTAGTGATACGAGCGCGGGTTTGATAATTCTTTAACGGCGACATGCTCTCGTATTCGCAAATTAAATCGGATCAACGCGAGCTTTAATTGCACCATTTAATGGCCGGTGCGTGAGACCTTTCTGAAATCCCCAATTTGAGCAGCGCGACGCCACGAACTACTACCAATCTCGCAAATAATCGAATGAATCGGGGTTGCCCGCAACATCGCTATTCATTAACGGATAATTCAGGTATGCCGTTAGTTATCCGGCCGGGGTCCTGACACACAACGACGGTATATTGTATTAGTGTCAACGCATCCGTTTATTAGCACTGACATTGCGCTACCTAATTAGCTGCCTTTACGACGTGGGCGTTAGCGGAAACGAATTATCGAGCGTACACGGTCATCGTCGGGGAGTCTCGTGAAAATTCAACCGACACAAAGCGGTGGAGCAGTATTAATGGAAAATTCAGATGTTTCTCCGATCGCAGTGTTTCCGACACTCGCCAACGAGAAAGATAAAAAAACAGATCACCCCTCTGATTTTATTATCTTGATTATTTTCCGCGAAAACCGTGCAGCCGTTTTCCAATTTTTTTTCTCTCTCCCCCAGCGCGAACGAACGTCTGATAAATTTCGCGCTCGCAATGTTTTCCCGGAGCGTGGCCTCATTTGAATCGAAGATAAACGGTGCGCGCGGACGCGAGAAACATTTTGCGGGGAAACCGATAAAAGATATTAACGTCGTTGAGATCGTTACCGAGCACCCCGGTTATGCCGTGCCGCGCGCAATTATTACGGCAGTGTCGTTAGCCGCGCAATGTCCCGATAACGATAGCGTTACAAAATGAAGGTAATGCGCGAGCGGCAAACTGAATTTTCCACGCAGAGGCGGCAAAGTGTTTACCATCCGCCAACGGCGCGAGATGGGTACTATTGGTTACGACATCCAAGTCGACGGTAACTGGCGATATCGTGATTTAATCAAGAACCATCGTAAAGCAATAATTGATGCTGCGCTGTATCGATTTCCGGCGTAGCGACGCGTTAGAATAGTGTAACGTGTTAATTAACCGAGCTGCGCTCGTGAGGGGAGAAAAGAGAGAGTGAAAGAGAGTGAGTGAGAGGCGGGGGGCGGGGGAGGGCGACAGAGAGCGTGAGAGGTGCTATTATGCATGCGCGCATTTACGTAGAAAATTATTCGCGCGAGGAGAGAAACGAATTAATGTCGCCGCGCAATTATTACGGACCGCGTTTTGCAGCGAATGCCGCGACGCGATGCGTCGCTGTTTCAGCAATAATGACGTCGCCGGCGCGCGCTCTGCAGCCGCGGCAAACATTAAACGAGACTTTAACTTCTTCAAATTGGCCATCGCGACTGCCGCGAACTTGTTAAGTCGGACATTCCTCGCGGACGCGTCGCGCGCTATGTTTATTGCGTGTCTCAGCGCGCGATATTAATCGTAATACTTCATTCCTACGTACTGTGTCTTTATGGATTGCGGCGAGACACACGCCGCGTCATTTTTGTGCTTTGCCACGTGCCTGTAATGCGTTCAACGGGAATAATTGTGTGAACGTGTAGAGAGAAATCCCTCGGTTGTTACAATAAAAGCAAACTTGCTGCTTGATGATCTGTTAGTGAAACAGATCGAACAATTACCGTTACAAATCGTTTTTCATCATTTGTCACTTTAACAAACATGCAATGTATCCCGAATATGATTGAGACAATCATATTCGAGATATACTATATGTAATATAGAGAGATTTATACACAGGTCCCCCCTATTCATTTTTCAATCGATTTTAATTCCTTATTCTAGTTGAAAAATGAAAAAATGTTTTTTTTATACGTTAATATCAATCCATAGAATCGTGTCCGCGAACATAGTAGTACATGGAAATAAGATTCGCCCCTTTAAATAAATATGTATAAAGATAATTAAATGCGGAAAAAAGCAATTAGCATTTTCCACTTGTAACATCCCATGTTTCGGGAATTGACAAGAGCAGATTCATTAACGACTATCTTACGCAACGATCGAGAAAATTGTCACGCTTTCATCGTCCTATAATAGCGAAACCTCTTAATTATGTCTATGTAATGCTCCAATGTTGCTGCAAATGTAATTTTTCATTATTGGTTTTGCTTCTGCTGTTATAGAGCAAGGACAAAATACAAGCAAGAAAAAGACAACGTTTTCGAGGCTACTACGAGGATTAAAGACCCACAGAAAAGAAAAACAGGGACAAACCCAAGGCTCTCCCAGACACGGTCGCGCAAGGATGGGCGTACCACAAAGGGTGAGTGTACACCTGCATTATAGTACTGAGAATCCTAAAGATTAGAGAATAACAGCGATACTTCGCCAAGTCAGTCACTAAATTTCGCAGAGACTTATACTCCTGGAAAGATGTCGTGTTCCTCTTTCTTTCCTTCCTTTTACACTGAGAAAAACATGTTTTGTATTTGTAATTATTACCACATAGAAAAATAATTCACGAGAACCATTTCTTTTATTAAATTCTACTATAATGTTAGTGATAATAACTTTTTATATGCATACTAGTACCATTTTACTACAAGAACTATGAGGCCAAAAGTAACTATAGTTGAAAATAGGATATCTTTTTTTTCTTAGTGTAGATATATATACACACACACATGTGTTTTTTTATATAGTAATGGTTCTTGCATCATTCATTTATTCGTCATGGTTCCTGTTGCGCTTCATATGCACACGAGATTCAATCTCCAACGGTTACGCGCGCTTTCTCGCTATCTCACGGCAGCCCCTGCGATATTAAAGCGCGATTTTCCAAATTTCCCAGAGCGCGGGCCCCGATTCTTTTTCTTTGCTTTTTTACCCTCTCTCTCTCTCTTTCTCTTTCTCTTTTTTTTTCGTCAGCGCATTTGTCATGCTGTATACGTACTCCGGGGAACGCAGCAAACGAGGTGAAATTGCGTTTTGCATCAGCGCTGCGTCAGTTTTGATCACCGCGTGCGCGCGAGCGCGTTGGCGGGTGCGCGTGTATTACCGTTTCAAAGGGTATCCGTAAAGGAGCTTTTCAAAGACGAGTTCGCGCATACGAGACGGAAGCGCCGGGTATTTCATTCCGCTTTGCGGGCCCACTTATATTTACGCGGACGTGAAACGCTTTCCGCGTAAATCTATGCCGCGTAATTGCGTTACCATGCGCTACGCGTTATTATCGCTGTGTGCACAGAGCGAAGCCCTCGGTCGCACGCGCGCTCCCGACGAGCAAATATTAAACTTCGCGCGCACTTCGACGGGAACGCGGGGTAATTTCTATCGCCGCGTTGCTCCCGTTCGCGCTTTTATTAACTACGTCCAGCAGCCGGTAGCGAACTGTCGCGCGCGGGACCGACACAATTCGGAAGTTTCCCTCCTCTCTGTGTTATACGTGCGGCGGGGGTGTGTTTTTCGACACGCCGGGCCCCTCTCGTCATTCTGAAAAGTCATCGCGTGACGCAACGTCGCTCGTTTTTCACGCGAATTGCGCCCTCCGTCGGACCGTCAACACGACGATAACGCCCAAACGTTATCCCCTGTATCCACGTTAATGATCTATTTTTTTCTCTGTTAAGCCGTTCGCTAAATTAGCGCGTGCTGCATAAACGAGACCAAATGACCTGTAACTAATAACGAATTCGGTTGCTTGCACTAGTGTGTACTGAGTGCGCACTAAGGCTTGTT